GTCCGTCGGTCCGTCGGTCCGTCGGTCCGTCTGTCCGTCGGTCCGTCTGTCCGTCCGTCCGTCTGTCTGTCTGTCTGTCCGTCCGTCCGTCCGTCCGTCCGTCCGTCCATCCGTCCGTCCGTCCGTGTGTCAGTGTGTGCGTGTGTGTCCGTGCGTGCGTGCGTGCGTTCGTCCGTCCGTCCGTCCGATCGATTGGATCGATTGGGCCGATCGATTGAATTGTCTGTTTGCAAATGTTGTATTTACTTGAGGTACTTTTACCACAATGTCTTTCCTTCTTCTCTTCGAAATATTTAGATCTAGTTTAGAGGCCTTCGTTGTCTGATTACAGTTTGAGTGGTATACAGTTTCGCTACAGTGGCTAAATTTGATAGATAAAATTGTATAATATTATTTTCAATTGTTACAGTAACACTTCCTGCTGAGCTTAAAATACTCGCACATCTGGTGCCTCCAAAGGGAAGAATTTCAAAAAAAATTAAGTTCACTACTCAGGAAGCAATTGACTCCTTATATATTTGTGTGCCGGTATGTTTTTTTTAATAGCCCCGCCCTAGGGAAACCCTGTGTCGCGGGTGCCATGGATATACACATAAACCATCACAAATTACACTCAAACTCACGAGAGAAATAAATTTAGGCCATACAAATATTTCTCCGAGCCCGGGAATCGAACCTGGGACCTCTGCGTTGGCAGTTCGGCATGGTAACCTTTCGGCCACGGAGGAATTTATAATGTCGACTCATCCGAAGTCCGATATGATTATATAACGAAAAGAGAATAAGTACGTTACGAGAATAATTTCGTTATTCAAACTAAGGCCTGTGTAAAGGCGTTTTGACAATTTATATATCTTATTTCGTTTCGAAAATACAAAATCCAACAGTCGATCTGACATTTACAGCGAAGAAGAACAAACGAAATGTACTATGTCCTGAGAACAAGTAGTCTTGCACATATAGATCTTTGTTCTACGGATGAGTAGGTATATATATATATATAAAACTGTCTCCTGTATATAATATATGTATGTATTTTTTGTTTTCAATATTTATGCCTCATATGCCTCATTTATAATATTACTTTGTGGTAAAGATTGGCTCACAAATCTGTTGTGGCTACTTATTATGTTTCATTCATTATGTACTCTTAATACTATCTTAATTTCTAGAATGCTGGCGATATAGACCAAGTAATCAAAGAACAAAAACAAAAGGCGACAAGCAAGAAATTGTCTGTTCAACCCTATGTTATACTCCAGGGATCTTTGCTAGAGTGTGGTTCACCGTTACTAATAGTAGATGATGTAAGATATCAATTTTTAACCATAACAAAAGCTTTTGATACTCTTTTTAAACTTTACCATACCTTCAACGTTAGATATCCCAGAGCAGGCGACCATTTATATTTGATCATACAAAGATGTGTATATAATATAGAAACTAAGTACGATAACGTCGTACCGTATATAATTGACGTTTTGAATATGTGATTTAGCTAAACACCACTTTCAAGGTTTCATAAACTCAATCAGAGCAGGGCCCACTCCCAATTGAGTTGTTAATGCTATTCTTTGAAAAAAAAAACAGTTTATACACAGACTTTCAATTAGAAAGAATTTTCTTACCACTTCAGTTACGACAATTTATGCAACAATAATTGCTACAAGTGATATTTACAATATTGTTAACCTGATCAATCTCCGACTAAAACTCTCTGTGTTTCGCTTATTGTCAAAATGGATTTGAACTGTAATTACTGTCACAAAATACTTCATGATTTTAAGCAATACATTTTTCATTTAGAAACTATCCATAAAATAGGTAACTATTTTGTCTGCCCTTTTGAGAGTTGTAAAAGAACATATGATAAAAAAAATCGTTTTAAAAATCATTTAACAACGTGTTACAATTCAAATCGCAATAGGAATAGTACTTCTTGTGACAATAGTATTAATATCAGTAACTCCATCCTGTCCGAACAAAGTTCATTTCCAAGTACCAATGATACACACCAATCTTTTGACACATCACCGTCGAATGATAAAGACACTGGAAATGAATCTTTTATAAAATCTGTAAAATCATACTTAAATATATTTGTATGCAATTTATATGGGTTTGTTAGTTTACCAAGATCTTTAATACAAACTTTGATAGAATTAGTTCAAACCTTAATCCACAACATCACTTCAAATATACACGAAACAGTTAATAACGAACATATAGATGCCACTAAAAGAAACATTATTGTAATAGAAATGATATTAGCATTACCAGACATATTTAAAGACTACGATACAGAATATAAGCGCTTGAAAAATTTAGTTGACAATGAGTATTATGTAGCCCCTGTAGAAGTAAAGATCGGAACTGTCAAAGATCGACGTAGTGAAAATAATGATGTAACAATGATGCTGAAAACTTTATATGACACCACTTAGACAAACATTAAGCAATTTTTTAAACTTACCTGGAGTACTTTCTCACATTCTTAATTATCAACAGATGCTTTTGGACGAGAGTAATGTAAGTAACGGTGATGTGATTCGAAATGTGATTCAAGGATCGTTGTGGAAAGAACTTTCGGCTAATATAGACAAAGATAGTATCGTTATCCCTTTAATTTTGTATTTTGATGATTTTGAAAGTGGCAATGCCCTAGGAAGCCACGCTGGCGAATATAAGTTAGGTGCAGTTTATATTTCTATTGCAACTATTCCGCCAGAACAATCAAGTAGGTTAGAAAATATTTTTGTGACTCAAGTATTTTATTCAAAGGACAGAGTATTTTTTGGCAATGGGGCAATTTTTAACAAATTAATTGAAGAACTTAAGTTTTTAGAAGAAGTTGGCGTTGGTGTTTTATTGTCCAAAAATATCATTACAGTAAAATTTGTATTAATAACTTTATCTGGAGATAACTTAGGACTCCACGGCATATTAGGACTTTTCGAAAGCTTTATGGCTACATATTTCTGCAGGTTTTGTTTGACTACCAAAACTGAATCTGAAACCCAATCGTGTGAATTAAATAATCTACGAATGCCTTCTGAATACAATCAACATGTTGAAAATCGTATAGGAATTAAAGAAATATGTGTTTGGAATAATTTGAAATATTTTCATATTTACAATAATGTTACATGCGATGTGATACATGATCTTACGGAAGGGGTACTAAGGTATGGAATGGCCCTTGTAATTAGAAGTCTAATAGATAAAGGATATTTCTCACTAGATCATCTGAATTCTAGGATAAAGTACTTTAAGTACAATACTAATGAGAAAAACACACCACCACCAATCAATAATCAACACTTATTAAACAAAAGTTTAACTATATCTGCTTCTGAAATGTTATGCCTTACAAGAAATTTTGCTTTTGTGGTTGGAGATTTAGTTGAAAATAACGACCCCGTTTGGAACTATTATTTAATATTATTGGAAATAACAAATGTTCTCACTTCACATTCGTTTACTTCAGACCTAATAGATTACTTAAAAAGTATTATTGAAGAACATCACCAGCAATACCTTAATTTATTTCAAAGTAAATTAAAACCCAAACATCATTTCCTTATTCATTACCCTACAATTATAAAAAAAATTGGGCCGCCTATACTTATAAGTGCTTTTAAATACGAAGCGAAACACAGAGTTAAAAAAGGTTTGTCAGTCAATAACATCACGAAAAGATCTTCCTCAATCTGTTATGAAACGTTGTCAACTAAAACAAAGTTTTCGATATGCAACTGAGAAAGGTTTGACGGAAAATCTTTTGTATGGTAAATATGAATTTGATGAAGGCCACTGTGGTGCAGACAATTGCATTTATGTTGATTGGTGTGAATTAAACGGAATTAGGTATACCGTAAATAATGTTTTGCTACAAGATATAATTGAGGATATTCCCAAATATTATATTGTTAACAAAATAATGATTAATCATTGTACTAATGACATATTATTTAAATGTTTTTTTTTAGATATTGTTCATTATAATGCTCATTTCAGAGCATATAAAGTAATACAAACAACACGTAGTCGTACTATTGCGTATGTAGACTTGTACACAAATTTAATTTCTGTACTGTATAAAGTAAAATTGGATTCCTATGTTAAAGTTGATTTTTGATGTATATTATATTGTACTGTGATGTCGACAAAACGAGTACGTGCAAATCCAAAGCTATTTCAGTGTTATGAGTAGGTACAGTCGCTGTATGAAGATTTATTATTTTGATTTCGGCTGTTTTAGTGTGATTGTTTAAATTATTCAGAAGGGTTGTTGCAGTGCAAATTTATATAAAATAAGTAAGTTACGTAAACAAGCCCTAAGGTTTATTGAATTATGGTTTGTCACACATATATGCATATATGTATGTAGGGACACGAATTTTATTTCTGTGAGTTTTAATTTAATTTTCTATGTTAAAGTTTTTCATGTCAATAATTCATTTTGTATTTCACTAATATTATGCCAGTATTGTATACGTGTACGAAAAATAAACGTTTTTTAATTTATTTCCTAAATAAGTATAATCTTTTTATTATTTAAGTCGTTTTGTGTCAAGTATTTTAAGCCTGCAATTTTATTTTGTTTAAATTTGTGAACAATTCTCAAAAAAATACAACCGTTTTCAAGAAGCAATAATTATAATTTGATAAAGTCAGAACGTCATAACAGCAACGCCAACGACTTCATTAAAATTAATTGTTGCGTTTTGAAGGCGGTTATATATTTTTTTAATTATTCACAAACTATGTCCTTAGGCTCAATTTATATAGCAGCGGAACGGAATGGAAACGAATTTTTGTAACGTTATTGTACATAGCATAATGAATTTTATGGTCAATTGTGTAACGTACATGCTCGAGAATGCTCGAGCATTCCGCGGAAGATTTTGGCTCGTATTTTGTTTTGTACCGTTACACAATCGACCATAATGTTCATTATGTTATGGTTAATATCGTTACAAAAATTCGCTTCCATTCCGTTCCGCCGCAATATAAATTGAGCCTTATTTTCAACAAACAAAATGACTTAAATCAAAAATACCCCACATTTTAACCCAAGACGGTAAAATCTTACATTAAGATTGTAATGGACTTATTAATAGCAGAAAGTTGCTTTGATATAACGGAACCAAAAGTCATAATTTAAGAAATTTGGTTTCAGAATGAAATCAAACTTCTCTTAAACATAGAAAACATAAATCTTCAGTTAAATAATTATCTCTCAATTTTCATTCTTTTTTTTTCAAGTCAAAATCAGAAATTTCTAATAACAAATAAATATTTTCTTGAATCTAGAGTAGCTTTATGACTTAAATAAATTAATTTGCTCTTGGATTAAATATTTCTGTCTTAGAACTAAAATACACTTTTGAGACGTTTTTTTACTATTATCAAGTAATTATTCTCTAGCGTCTATAGGGAGAGGATCGTTTTCTTGGATTTAATAAAATTGTCTTCGTACAAAGAAATTTGTCTAGTTTTAAGTAATCTGTTTTTACCGTGTAGTACCAGCCTATGGCCTAAATCCTCCTGAGACGAGGACGAGACCCGTCCCTGTAGTGGGACGTAAAAATGGGTTGATGATGATGCACCTTAATCTATTTCCAAACGGCGGATGTAGCATAGAATATTTACAAATGAGGAGTAACCTTAGGGGTGAAAGACCTTTGAACTGTCCTTTGTACGGACATGCCGAACTAAAATATCTATTTGCCATCTGTACCGTTGTTATGGGACCGCTCTAGCATTGTTCTATAGAACCCTGGATCTACGATTTTGCTGGTACTCCACAAGACCACAGTGTACATTTTCATTACTAGAAAGTTGGAAAACTGGAGACTACCCATAATTGAATTCATTTCAAGCTATATTGAGGAACAAACCGTTGCAAGTTATTTGTAGAATAAAATTATGATTAAATTTGTTAGAGCCTTCTAGGTTTTGATTAAATACATTTTCATGATTGTTAGGAACAAATACGTTCTTGTACTGTACAATACACTGAAGTGCAAATGGCTGACTAAAATGCCATAAGAATTCTCTACTAATCAACCATTAGGCCAAACAGAAAAAAATGTTTGCAGAATGCAGTTGGTGCACACTTAAAACAAGAAGAACAAAATATATAAGCTAAATACATACATAATAAACATAGGCTTGATTTTGACAACTATTATTGATTAAATCAATAAAACAATTAGTTCGATGAAATAGATAAAAGGATTGTTACAAAAGTGAGAACTGCACTTCAGCTAATAGAGCCAACATTCCAAAACAGAAGTCAGGATGTTAGCGGCTGTCTGTACCATTGTAGTTCAGGCATTGTTCGAGAAGCATTGTCGACGCAGCCTGAACCCGTATTCACGCCGCGACGCATCTCACATTCACGCACTGAATGGTTTATGACTTAGGCAGATCTCACTACTTGCTCTTACTGTTTATTACATGGGAAGATGATACTAAATGCCTCAGGTATATATGACGTCTTGTCCTCAAAAATACGGCTAGCGATTAGGTACA